TTTTCTCTTTTTATGTTAATGTTTAAAAAGGGCAGACATCTGTTAGATTATACTTTTTGTGTGAAAATTATGACATTTGGTCTCAACATGTTTAAGAATTCTGTGAAATTAAGTTGAATATCTTTCTCATGTTGTCAAATACTAGATATTGTCAATGTATCTTAAACAGGTTTCAGGTTTCTTGAAGTGTGTGAATTTATTCCCAAATAGATTTTATTCTAGAATAGACATGTAAAGATTACTAAGTAGAGGGGAATACCATCGTTAGTAAATAGAACTGGCTTTTGTAGATAAAATAAGTGGTGTTTATAAAAATTTTATTGGGCTGATAAGGTGATCTGAAACAGGATTGTCTTATTCTAGTCATGTTCTTAAACAGAGTAAAGCCTGCTTCACTGGTATTGAGGCAAAGATAGATATTATCTCAAAAGACACCAAGATATCTTCTTGGTTTAAGTGAAAGTCTTTTATTCTATCTACAAAGACTAAAGGGTTTTTGAGGGAATAGGGGTTAGTTTTGAGTAAAAGGATTAACAATAGAAAATAATAAAAAGAAATAGATCTGAATTTGAGGAAAGAGGCAAAACACAGTGTAATGACAAAGTGAAAAATAGGCTTTTATTTATTAAAAGCCAAACAGTGAGGACAAGTGCAGTAAGACACAACACAACATTTTTCTCTAAATTGGAGAGAACTTTACTTCAGAAGGAAAAATTTGCAGAAAATCTGAATGAGACTAAAATAGTTAAGCTAAGAGATAGTGGATACCTGAGACTAGCTAGAAATTGTTTGGCACATGCCCAGGGGATAACATTACCCTCAAGTTTTAGGAGTGAAACGTAGTATACAGGAGCTTAGTTAAATGTGTGAGTCCCAGATTTGCAAGAACTATTAACTATGAAAGAATCAGTTAATTCAAGTTATAAATGTAGAGACAGATATTAAAGACCTGAAGATATATTAGAAGAAACTCAAAATTTGCCCCCTATTGTGTCTTCAAGTTACTTCAATTTTCTCGTCATGACCTCATTCCTACTTTAATCGACAAATCTTTCACCGCACACTTCACTCTCATTGTTTTGTTGATTATCACTCATTTATGATTGCACTAATTTTCTCATTCTGGTAACATCGATTCTCAAACTCTTGTTGTCATTGATTAACTCAAACTTTCATCATTATTGATTAACAATACCTATTAATTTTTCCTACTAATTTTGCTCTGTAACGTTCGCTTTATAAATTCGCTACCCTCAATGATTCATCATCAGTCTATACAATCAGCCTATGTCCTAATTAGATTGGTCACCATCATTTAATTCAATCACTTCAGTAGCCTCTGAGTAGGACAACCTTTTGTTGCCTGACTCTGTTCTTTTCTTTTTGAATATACACAACCCATTTATCCAAGTCAATTTGTCTTATTATATAACATTATACATACTAGTATCTCTATTAAGCATAATGCTATTATCACTGAATTAGATACTTTCCATTTATCTTATCTCTTTCTGCTGTAGCTCGTAAACAATCTACATGCTGTCAAAATTCCTTACTACTTAACCCTGCTCTCTGAATGTAATAGATAACGTAAAAGTGAAACTGGAATCGAGTATGAAATACCATTTTGACAACCTTGTATTCCAAAAACCTAACCCTATGGACTGTGATTACAGGAAGGAACGAGCAGCAATTGTCAAAGTTGAATGGTTCCAGGTGGCTGAAACGTACGTTATAAAAGAACTAGCAGTAATGAACTGTTACACAGGATAAATTGATAATTATAGTTTTAGGCCTCTTGTTCTTTGTGACATGCTGAGTAATAAAGATGTGTGATACATAAATTAGTAGCAATGTATTTACATTTGTTTGAGTGGGAGGAAGGACAGTATTCATTCCCACAACTTACAGAGATATGTAGAGATATTTTGCAGTGCTACACCAAGCTACAAACCAAAGGGATGGAAAAGGTCAGAATGAAATCTTGGGTTACAGGACTACCATCTATTAATGTAGAAAACTATGGATGCAATGAGGCAGTACTGTGTGATTACCATTCAGACCCCGGAGAGCATTGTGCCAAATGGAAACTGAGTGTGTTGTATCATCAGACGACTAACAGTGACCCTAGTGTGTTCAACTTTTGGTGTTGATTTTTATAATATGGACAACCAACCCAAGGACAAAGAAATGATGAGGCAAGGAAGAGAAGAGAAGGCATCACTTGATTGTATAAATGATGGTCTTCAATTTCTTCCTTTTGATTATTTTATATTGATATAATTAATAGTTTAACCGATTATCTTATTTTATTTTATGATATATTATGAGTAGTATAGACAAAGAGATTATTATGGAGTGTGATACTATATAAGTATAGCATAATAACCTGTTGGTACATGAATGTTGAGTCTTTGCAGTATAGTAACCTATTTTTCTTTTGTAACCAGTATTATATTAATGGTTAAGGGTCAAGGTATCATATAAATATGCTTACACGTGACCTCATTTATTGGTGATATGAAGGATAGATCATTTAGTAAGATTGTTAGTAAATTCTAGAGAAAATTATGTCAAAAGGTTGTTAAGGGAAGAGATGCTTAACTAAATTATTGGAAGCATTAGT